ACTTTTTGGTATGATTTTTGGTATGAGCTTCTTGACATTTGTGGCCCGAATGTCCTATTTTAGGTTGTGTTTAGTTCAAAATTTGGTAAAAACGGGTTTGAAAAAAACAAAAATGTAAATGAAATGTGAATAAAATGGATAAGTAAATTCCACCCACGTTTCACAACAATCTTTTTATTTTCATTTTAAAATATTTGTTCTAAAATTCTTAACTAAACACAACCTTAAAAATGATTATTAGATAGTCGTTGGGCTATGCACTTTGTCCAAGTTTCTAAATTAACGCCTTTTATATTGTCTTATGAAACGTCCTACGCAAAAATGTTATAGTCTATTGTTAGACTGATGAGTTTTTCCAAAATATGGAGTACCATTTGAACTTATTTTGAGAGTGCTAAAATAATTTCTCCTGGGGAATTCATAAATTAGTTGCCAAAGTTGGAAGTGCAATTTATCCAAAAATTATTAGATTTGAGAGGATATTAATTACTAGAGTCAAGTATTACATTCCATTAATCACAAATACATAGGGTGTTGTTTGGTTTGGTTTTGTAGAGTGATTTGGAAAAAATATTCTAAAAAATTTGTTTGGTTTTGTAATTTTCTAAATAATTTCAAATCGGCTTTTCTCTCAATTACACATAATCAATCATTTTTCACTCCTCTTCTCCCATTTTTCATCACTTTTATGTTCACACCATGCTACTGCATTAAGAAACAAAATTCAAAATCATTCCAACTCTCAAAATTTAAAAAACTACTTTTCCAAAAACACAACCGAAAAATCAAAAAAGGAAATTTAAACCTCTCTCCCAAATTTTTTTTTTTAAAAAACTACTCTCTCAAAATCAAACAAACATAACCCATATTTTTCTTATTTTGTTCATTTCCTGAATACTAATATCAAATGTAATGAATCTGATTATGTAAGCCAATAAAAAGAGGAAAACGGAGTGGAAGCTACATATATAAACTAGTGTACTAATATTAACTTATGACAGTATTTATTGACCCCAACTCATTATAATAAATTACAAATACTAAAAATATCTTAAAGGGTTATAATATATCATCAATTTGATTATACTAATTAGTCGTACTAATTGATACATATAACATTAATCTATTCTATACAAAAGACGAGTTTAATCAACATTCCAAACTTAATTTATGGGCATTCATGGCCGAGAAAGAGACATGTGGCCACATAGATTGTTCCCAACACTTAGAGTGCATTGTTGTTGGGCCTCACTCTCCTCTGTACAAACACAGTTGGAAACCTCATAGTATGCGTGTAACTTTTAACTATCAAAACAAAAGTGTCCCTCTCAAAAAAGTTTTAGGTCAACCATAAAACAAGTGAGTTTTTTTTTCTCATTATAAAATAATTCTAAAATTTAAATTTGTTAATAGTCCAAATTCAAAATAATTTCAAAAATAGCTAAATTCATTTAATAGTTTTCTAAAAGCTTCTGTATTTTGTTTTAATGCTGTGTTTTGGTTAGAATTTGGGGTATTTGTGGATTTGGCAAAGGGAAAGAGTACCTTGAGGCTACAACAGAACCAACAGCCCCCACCTCCTCCAGCTCAACCCGAGCAGAATGTTAATGATGATATAATTACTCTGACACAGAAGTTTAGTAAAATGAAACCATGTATACATTGTTGAGTTTTGAGGTTGATTTCATGGAAATCCTCACATGCATGTCCATATTCTAGCTTTGGTCCATGAATTTAGCATGTTTTTGGAAGGATTGACTCATTTGCTCTTGTATTAGAAGCTTTGAAGTTGATTAAATTCATGCATGCTGCATGTACATCATGTTCGTGAAGTTTTGTTTGGAAATGGGTTTAATTGAACTACCTTTGGGCTTTGATTTTGCAAATTGATCTTTGAAACATGTCATATTATGAGTTTTAAAGTGTTTTCCAGAAAATTAACCCAAAAGGATCGAATTTGATGCTTTAAATGTTAAGTTTCATGCTTGGAGACAAATTTGAAAATTTCAGATTTTGGATCCATGCTCGAGCAAGGAACTCCACACTCGAGCGTAGACTTTGAGATCATGCAGTCCGCTTGAGCAAGAAAAGTAGCGCTCGAGCATGAAATGTGTGTATCCAGTACTTTGCATGTGTTTATAGTCCACTCGAGCGACGGAAATGCACGTTCGAGCGAGGACTTGTGTCTCACGCTCGAGCGGAGGTCGAGCGCCCGTTGAGCGTAAATTTCATGCATTCAGTACTTTTGCAGTCCGCTCAAGCGAGGAAAGTCATGCTCGAGCGAAGCTCCTTTGTCTGCATGTCCGCTCGAGCGTGGAAAGCCACGCTCGAGCAAGACCCCTGTTTTCTGAAAATTCTGAAAAGTGTTTTAAAGTGCATCTTTGCATCCTCATTTCATCCTAGGCATTCCTAGGCCATGTTTAAGGCATCTTAATGAAGATAATGCTATAGAAGCACACCGAGTCAAGATAGGGACTAAGTTATTGTTTCCCAAACGTGCAACTTAGTGTGTGTTCATCTTGTAACTGTGTAGGGTTGGCATCCGAGGACGCTCACTAGCCTATCTGTAGCCCAGAACTCTGTGAGTAACAATATTGTAAAGATATATTCAATCACAAATATTTTCTGAATGATCTATTGTATTGCTTTCTGAAATGATATTTCTTACTGAATGAATGCTTGTCCTGATTGCGAACTGTATTCGTGGCGTCCATAGCAATTCATTGTTACTGTACTGTACTGCTACTGTCACAGAGATCTCTGTCGGTTCCTATGTTTGGAACCACTACTGTTTACTAATATGATGGCCATCAATTGACTGTTCGGTCTGTTAAGACCTACTGTACTGTTTTCTATTGGATGTACCACTTATGACTGCTATGATCGAATAATCGATATACTGTTTAAATGACTGTTTTAAATATTGAAAGGATATTCATTCTTAACCTCTTTACGCATATGTTATTCACTGGGCTTTAGCTTACTGTTTATATATATATATATATATATATGTAGGTGTCTAGGCACCGGATTGGAGTTAGGAGCGTTGGGTTAAACTCCCTTTTTATCAAGTCAACCAACGTGCCTCACTGCGAGGTTCCAAGTGTGTCCAAGCCAAGGCTGCTTTGGGGTGTTTTACATTCTCCCTTTCTATCTCTGTTTCATATAGACTGTATAGACTAGTACTGTACTGTTATGGTAGGGATGTGGTCCCTAACCTGAATGCCTGTATATGATGTATGTGCATACTGCTTTTGTTCTGAATGTGATTATGTCATGAAAAGTCTTTTTGCATACAGACTGTCACAGCTCATTGGACATCTTTTATTACTGTTTTGGCTTCCGCTAGCCCCTGTACTCTGTATTACTGTTATTACTGCTAAGCAGGCCTTCGATAATCACGGATTACTGGCCGGTTACGGTACTAAACCCATAGGGGCGGGTTTGGGTCGTGACACTTAAGCAACTAGCCTTCTCTTTTTCAAAACCAATAATGCAGTGAATATTCATGTTTAATTTCTCCTTAGTTGCATACTTCAAATACAAAACTGTCAAATTATCCAATGATCAGATCATGAAGCATTGCATAATTAAAAACACAATCAAGAAATAGAGAGAGAGAGACAGTTTGCCTGTGTAAGGAGAAAGAAGGAAAATGAAAGGAGTCAGCCGGTTCCGTTTCAAGAGCTTCTCGTCGTCGTCAGGAGTGGGTCGCCGGTGAGGATGGGTCGTTGGTAATGATGGGTTTGGTGGAGGAGAAGGGGCTAAGTAAGAGTGGGAGTGAGTGTACAAAAGCTATATGTTGTATATAGGTTTGGGTGGGAAATGAAATGAAATTTATTTGTTTATTTATTTAAGAAATGAAGAAGGGGCATCAAGGAGGAAATCTAGACTCGGAAGAGTAAGGGGAAGATGGAGAACATAAAGAGAGGTAGGGGGAGGGGCAATTATTGTTGTGGCATTTGAAGGGAGCAAAAGAGGGGTAGAAGGAAGAGGGGTTCAAAGTAGAAATTTATAAATTTATTTAATTTAAACCATCTTTTATAGAGTATAATAGCAAAAGAATAAAAATATGAGTTATTTACACAAAGATCCTTTAAATTATTGAAAAATATTATTTTGACTCTTTAAATTATAAAAATTTACAAATAAACCCTCTAAACAAAGGAATTTTATTAATTTGTCTGAAATTATAAAAAGCGTACAAATGAACTTCTTAACTTATAAAAACGTACAAATTTTTAACAAAAAAGGGTCAAAGTGAAACACGTCATTAGTTTAGAGAGTTTATTTTTATGTTTTTATAGTTTAGGGGATCAAAATAATATTTTTTAATGGTTTAAGAGATCTCGGTAATCCTAGTTGATGAACACCAAATTTAATTTAATTTAGTTTATAATAAAAATATAATGTATTTCTTAATGAAAATAACAAATATATAGAACTTTGGCAGTATGATTGAAAACGGAATTTTAGCATTACAATTTATGGTGGTGACTTTTTTTCATTTTTATTAAATGACTATAAACGAGTTACATCATTTAATATAATTTTTTTGTATATAATTTTATTTATTTATTTATTTATTTATGTATAGCATTAACTATTTTCTACTGTAAAGGAAAGAAAAATGGGTGTTATTGAATTTATGAAAAAAATAAAAATAAAAACAAATTAAAATGAAATAAATAAATTCTGTTTTTTCACTTCATTTTTTTCTTTCCTTTATTCCTTCACAATTATTGTGTAAATCCATGACCGAAATAGAGCCATAACACATCAATTATAAATAAAACGTAGTACTTCGATTAATTGAAACAACCACCTCCTTTATTAGGTAACTAGAAATCATTCAGTTACATCTTATATACTGTTAATTAAGGAACAAAGCAATAACAAACTGACAAAAATTGCTAGTTAAATCTTTGCCAAATTCAGTAGAACAATGATTCTTGACAAGTTCTTGAACCCCAATGATTCTTGACAACTCAATAGAACAATTATTCTTCCATAAGTCCAGGAAACTCCAATAGCATATCGCTTTGTTGATCCATTATGGCTTCAACAAACGATCTGTCAGAACACGATGAACTCTCAAAGCTATTCATCACCTCAAATTCATGACCCATTTCTTCAACCGCACTAAAATCTTGTTTTTCTTCTTGCTTAATCTCTTCTTCTTGTTGTACATCACCCGGTATAAATGGATCTTCAATAAGAAAATCGCGCCAGCTGAAACTCAAAGACGCGTTAAACTGACTTACTGCTGATGAAGAGGAGCAATCAACATGTGGCGTGTTGGTTGTTTGGCTGTTGGTATAGTTTGATGAGGCTTCAGTAACGAGCGTAATGGATTGGAGCTGAGCCAGAAGGTCTAGCGAACTGTTATTTGCGTAATTGCCAGCGGTGTTTTGGATTGGATGATCGAGTGTTGTGAAATGCATGTTGAAATTTGAGAATACGTGTTGTGGGATCGGAGACTGGACCGATTTGGAGATGAATGCGTTTTTTATGTCCCGGTTGAGGGATCCGATTCGGTTTCCGAATTTTGGGAGGCCATCAATGTTTCCATAGTCAGCAAGGATTTGGGAGAAGGGTTTGTGAGTCACTGGATCAATTCCCATTTCAGATAGCTTTTTTCTTAGTTTTGTGTTCCAGTAGTTCTTCACATCATTGTCTGTTCTTCCTGCAAGTTGTTGGGCTATTATAGACCACCTGAACCACATAAAACAATGACACACAGAATAATTAAGAAAATATTTGTAGCAACAATGATACATCTTCTAAAATTACGGCTCTAATTGAGCTCTAGTGAAGTGAATTTTTTTTTTTTTTTTAAAAAAAAAAAAAAAAAAAGAGGCTAAAACAACATCGTTTTGGGATTTCAGGCCACTCTTACCTCTAATTTTGCGAGCTACGTAGCAGGATTGGCTAATCTTTTTTGGCTCCATTGATCTGAATACACACATAATTGAGTGATAGATTGTTTCGAAAGATTCTTTTGATTATTATTTTTATTCATTGTTTGATTTTGTTTAAACTTTCTTCTATTTGCAAATAATAGCACAATAAAAAATAATGATGTTAATAATAATAGTGAGGAAGAAAATGAAAAGAAAATAATTAGAATTTGGGAAATAATATGAAAAATACGAATGAGTTATTAGGGTGTACCACACAAAAAAAAAAATATATATATATATATATATATTAGGATTTAATGTTTATTTTTCTTATTAGTAAATTTACATTAGAGTATAATTGGAACTAAAATTTCAAAATTTTAATTGAGCAATAGTTTGTTTCAAAAGATTCTTTTGATTATTATTTTTATTCATTATTTGATTTTGTTTAAATTTTCTTCTATTTGCAAATAATAACACAATAAAAAATAATGAAGTTGATAATAATGGTGAGGAAGAATATGAAAAGAAATGTGTTTGGTTTGAGTTTTCTGGATTAAATTTTTTGAAAATTGAGTTTTTTGGTTTTCGTATTTTTTTGTTTTTAGTAAATATTTTTAAAATTTTAAACATTTTTTTTACTTTTTTAGATGCACCTTACTTAGATGTATCTAAAAAGTAAAAAATTTGTAAAAAAATATTTTAAAAAATTGATAAATACATAAAAATACAAAAAATGTACTGAATTCTTGTATTTTTTTTGTATGTTTGGTATTTAGTGAATTTTAAAAATATTTTTTTTTATAATTTTTTTACTTTTTAGGTGTATTTATGTTAGGTGTGTCTAAAAAGTAAAAAAAATTGCTTAAAACATTAAAAAATCAGTAAAAACAAAAAAAACACGGAAAATAAGAAAGTAGAATTTTCTGAAAAGTGTTTTTAGAAAAATGAAACCAAACAAGCTTAAAATTTGGGAAATAATATGAAGAATACGAATGAGTGATTAAGGTGTACCAAAAAAAAATATATATATATATATATATTAGGATTTAATGTTTATAAATTTACATTAGAGTATAATTAGAACTAAAATTTCAAAATTTTAATTGAGTGTACTGAGTTGCTATTTTGATGCAAATAGAATTATCCAAAATCTATAGTATTATCTTAACTGAAGATTAGGTGTCCAGCCATTCGCTTGCTTCTCTTTATGTCACGTGTCTCTTATTTTTTTTATTTAAAATAGAGAAATTTATATAAACAAGTACATGAAACTCAAAATCTTGCCTTTACGTTTAGAAAATAAAATTATCACTTGAGGAATATATATTATGATATTAATTTTTTTATCATTTATTTTTATTTTTATTTACTTAAATTGCACACGTTAATAAAAAATTTATTTTGTTTTCCACTTTCGCTCCTTTAACCACCCAGTAAACTTATCTTTTTAAAAAAAGTTAAATAAAATAGAAACTAAATAAATAAAACTAATAATTTATAGGAAAAATAGGAATAAAAAGAATATGACAATAATTTAAAAGATTAAAATAAAACAAACCATTGTTTGTAATTAATTGAGCTCATGGGCCAAAGAGGGGATGACGCTATCCACAAGTAATGGATGTTGTGACAACGTGGCAGCATACTACTAGTGGAAATTATAATGAGGACTCTGATAGGTCCACATAATCCTCTGAATGACAAAATTTGTGGAAAAGAGAAAGATCTCATTGATTCAGTGGCTATGGATTTCATTCTTTCCCCCTAAATATTATCCTTTTAGTTTTGTTTTTTTTTTGGAATCATCTAAAACCCACCATTCACAACATCTCATAGATAGATAGATAGATAGATACAGAGAGAGAAAGAACAAAGTTAGAGAGAGAGAAGTGGCCATGGCTACATGTAACATGGCATCAGCTGCAGCTGGGTTTGTGCTCTCATCACCATCATCATCATCATCAAGTAATGCTTTGACATCAAGCTCTTCTTCTAGGACTGGTGTGGCATTTCCTCTTAAGAACAACAACAACAACAATGGCAGTGTTTCAAGAAGGATGATGGTTGTGCGTGCATCCGAGGAGGCGGAGCCACCAGCTGCCACCAAAACCGCCACCACCACCGTCTCACCTCCTAAGCCACCTCCGATTGGACCCAAGAGAGGCACCAAGGTTTGTTTTCAAAAGTTAATTTATAATCCTAATTCTCAGTTGTTTTCACATATGTTTGTGGAGAAAATTTTAGCCTTGTTAAAATTTATAAAAAAAATTAAAATAGTTAATAAAATAAAATATCATATTAAATCTATAATCATTTTAATTTTTCTCTCATAAAAATCATCATCTCAAACATAAAAATTTTAATGTTAAAATAGCTAAAAATTAAAATAACTTACTAAAATAACAATTTTCCAAACACCGACTATATAATTTTTAGTTATCAATTGTTGTTGTTGCCTGGGTGTAGCTTTTAGTAACTATTTTTTTTTTTTTAATGACAAATTATACACATGTATTTGTCGCCCTATATGTGAAATTGGTCCATGTAATTTTAATTTATTAATTCTTCTTTTTAATTTTTTGATAGCCTCAAAACAGTTGGATTTAAACTCTCCAATCACTTTTAGAGAATGGATAAATTATTTTGTTAATTAATTTCAGTACAATATAAAAAAATTCAATAATAATATTGATTCAATCAGATCTAGCAAGACCAAATTGACGCTAAAAATAAATTAGAGACACACTAGTAGTCTGGTAGTGTAATTTGTATTGATGTATGATGTAATTTTTTATTAGATCCTATCCTATCAGTCAAGAATAATTTAAATAAACAGAAACTATTTACTTTGTGTTTGGTCAGAGGATTTGAGGAAGGATTTGGAAGAAAAATAGAAAAAGAAGTAATACATTTCACCTAGTTTCACACACTTTTTTTCCTATTCTTTTCTAAGTTCTTTATCAAATCCCTCAATCAAACACAACATTAGAGAAATGTTTTAGTTTTTGCTTCTTCATTGCCAAAATTTTATGCTATGTTTGTAGGAATTTGAAAATGAAAGAGAAAAGATAATAAAATATGAATGAAATATATATATATATATATATATATTTTCCTTTTGAATTGCTACCAAAATTCACACTTCAAACATAATCTTAATTTATAAAAATCTACAGTAAACATTCGTGTTGTATTTGTAAAATTTTAGTGACATGAGTGCACATGAGCAGTAGCATTAAGACTTGAAGTAACATACTTCAATTAAAATACATTTTTTTAATTAAAAAAAAAAACTGTACAGGTTTGACATATATTATAGGGCTGAGCAAGGAATCCGTGAAATCCGTAATCCGATCCAGTCCAGTCCAATCCGATAGGTTTGAATTGGTATTTTGAATCCGCGGTTCGGTTCCGGATTGAATAATTAAAAATCCGTAGTTCACGGATTGGTTCCGGATTGAATCCCACGGTTTCGGATTGGAACCGATCCGGACCGTATACAAATAGTCTATATTTTTATTACACATCCTCCCCCATAGTATCTCTTATTCTATGTAAAATCTAAACTCAAACCTAAAATCGTATAATATCTTCTTTTATTACTTTTGTTTGTTAGTTTTAAGTTTTAATTTGCAATGGTCTAAATACTTATGGTGAAACCAGTTTTCTTATGGTTGTTTAAATTCTAGAACAGTATGTCGTTATTATAGAAAAACATGTTGCTATTATGGAACTAATATAGCGCTATGTTTATATTTTTATGAAGTTCAAGTGTTATATATATATATTTTTGTTATTTAATTATGTGAATCCGTGGTCCTAAACCGATCCAATCCGTATTTAAATGGATTGGTTCGGATTGGTTCCATGATTTAAACGGATTGGATTGGTTCCAATTTTTTAGGAACCGTAAATAACGGATTGGTCCTGGTTTTACCCTAATCCGGTCCAATCCGGACCATGCTCACCCCAATACATTATACTCAAAGATCATTATGGATGCCAAACCTGAGAACAACATAAGAAACTTAAAAACAACACCAGAAACAATTGATTAGTACTTCGAAATCCATTTTCATTTCCCACAATATTATCTGCTGTTTTAATTTTAGTTGAGTTTGCTTCATTAGCCTTCCTTTCCTCTTCTTTCACAGGTGAGAATTCTGAGGAAGGAGTCTTACTGGTTCAAAGGCATAGGATCTGTTGTAGCGGTTGATCAGGTTTGTATGCTCTCTCTATCTCTCTCTACGCTCTCGTGTACGAGTCTTTTGCTAATTTTAGCTTAGTGTTGCTAATTAATACCGATATTGATGTAACAACTGAGCAGGACCCAAAGACTCGATATCCAGTGGTGGTTCGATTCAACAAGGTCAACTATGCCAATGTATCAACTAACAACTATGCACTAGATGAGATTGAAGAAGTGAAATGAATTCTATATATATGTGTGCCTATTTTGAGTGTGGTTTGAATTTGTGTAGTACTTCTCTGTATTCTATCCACTCTTGTTTCTGATAATTTTATCACTATTGCTAGAGACCAATTTGAATTATCTATCTTTATGTCTGTCTCATGCAATCGATACAAGTGTTGTGCTTTCTTTTCCACTAGTTAGAATTTGGAATTTTTTTGCACTTGCAAGGTTGGAAAACATGTGAGAAAAAGGTAATTGGAATTGGGTTTTCTTGTCTCCCAAACAACTAACACAACAAAAATGTAACACTTTTCGTTTATATTATTTAACGAATTGATTCTAAAAATTGTTTTGGGAAAAAAATTTTCAAACTAATCCACCTTTTGGGAAGTTATGCAAAATTGAAACTTAATGATTTCTTTTCCCTTATGCCCCTTTGTTGGGAAGTGAATTGTCAGTTTGAAGAAATTAGTCATATGATTTGTTATTGGAAGAGTACATGTAGTGCTTTAATATAAGCAAATCAAGATGAGAGAATAGATTTGGATAAATACTTGGCCAAATGAGTATATAAATAAATAATGTTCTAGTGATTTAGAGGGACCATGTGTAACAAGTATAACAATAATATCTCTTCATTGGTGATTTAAATTCTCTAAATTTCTGATTAGGAAATAACACATACAGTGAGACTTGCCAACTAAATAGTTAGTGAATCTCTGAGAGATTTTTCATTTTTATCTAATTAGTTTCTTTCTCTTCTATAATTTTATTTCTATCTCCCATCTATCTATTTCCTTTAGTTATTCACTAGAGTAATTATGATTTGGAAGTCGATCCAGAGCAAGTGTTTGAATCTATTATGACATAGCTATGAGGCGCTCAACGGACCTTTTTAATCTTTTAAAACCCCTTTTGGGGCTTTGGATTGATGCAAAACAACTTTTTTGTACAATCTAGTGTGTATTCATATCTCAATTAGATGTCCATTGAAGGGACCTTGACAGTGCAAAACACAAGATATTAAGTTAGTTTTTCAAGAACTATTATCTTCATGATCAAACTTCTAATGCATATACTTATCTCCCTATTTATAAGAAAAACCAAATGGTGTAAAATAGTAAAAAATATTATCTAAGTAACAAAAAATTTAGAGTTTAAATATTCTTTTAACTGGGATGAGTTGCCTTTGCTTTGTTGCGGTTTCTGTTTCTAGCACACTCCATCTCTTTTGTTGATGTACTTCTTAGTGTACTGCATTGCACTTCATTGTCATTAAAAGTTTTATTTTTATTGATAAAATTAAAAATGAAAATCTATTTTTTTTATTGGAAAAAAAAATGAAAATCTTTAAATGCTACATATATAACAATTGTGTTTCGCAACAATTTTTGGATTCTTAATCTTTTTTTATCTTAATTTAAATTTTGTAATGTAGGGTTCCCATTTTTTGTTTTTCTTTTTGATGCCCAGAGGGGGGCTACCTTGGGTAACCCAAACAGCTATTCTCCCAAGCCCAACAAGATAGGCCCAACACTAAGCCCAATACATAACTCACTCACAATTTTTTGGTCAAGGCACCAGCCAACCACCCGTCAAAAAGAGAGCTGGCCACGTGACAGGCAAAGATTTTGAAGAGATATTGAGCCCATACGCCAAGCATTAATGAGTCTATCAAAGCATTAAATGCTACAAGACCTCTTACTCTGATGCATGAGTAAACCACCATGGCCGACGACAAGCAGACAGTGGGCTTTTGGCTAATGGGATAGTTTAGAATGGACAAGGAAATGATGAGCAAAAGATATAAGGAAGCCTTCGAGACACGTTAAAGATTAAGTTTTTCCTAACCCCCCCTCCTGACTTCTCTCTCGCTCTAAACTCAATCGACCTTAACCTAACTTGATCATTGGAGAGCCCGTTGGGGGACTATCCCCCCCCTCTGGACCTTTTTGTAGGCACCCTTCATGGACATCAAGGCCAGTAGACTCGTTCGAAGCGTAGACCGATCCGCCTTATCCTCCATTGAAGTTATTGCACTATCAGCTGACGCCGTCTGTGGGAAGCCATCTCTAGTCGACAGTTGTGTTCATTGTTGCTGAAGAGAACCCCATTAACACCTATCTCCTACATCAGAGTGAATGGTCACGACCAGATCCATGGCTTCACAACACAATGCTGGTAACCTTGAAGCTGAGTCCTCTAACCCAAATAACCCATCTCCATATTTCGCAGAACTCACCAACAGCATTAATTGAGGTGCCTAACACAAGGTTCAACTAAGCACGTCTGTCAACGACTTACAAGGAAAACATTCTAACCGCAATCACTGCTAACGGATTATCTCTACGCGACTTGGGTGACTTCTCACTCAACCTAACACTGTTCTACCCTTAATTAAGAACAAACCCAGGGATATTACTATTCATATTATTATTATATTAAATCTAAATTATGCCATGTATGGTCTCATGAGTTTACTGTAGTGGCGTTGGAAGCCTTACGGCGGCCGCCCACACAACTATATGATCTTGTATTTGTTGTTGAATTCTATCAATCTGTTGATTGCAGAATTCTAACTGTTGGTTACTCTAGGTGTCTGCTGGAAATATAGTTAAAAATTGTATACTTCAGGTGTCTACTAGAAATATAGTTAAAAATTGTAAATATTGATTTCGACTAGTGATATAATAATCTAATACATGCAAAAGATCAACAAGTAAATTGACAGAGGGCATACATAAGAAATACATACAATCAGAACTTCCACTTTAATACTTTAGAAGTTTACACACTTGAAGAGAGAGAGGGAGAGAGTACACACTTATATATTAAAACTGAAAATTCAAACTCAAAAAAAACTCTGCCTTCAATAAGGGTGAGGCATCCCTTAAATAGAAAATGAAAAGATAAGGTTAAGGACAGGTGACGTGTCCTAGATGGTTGGAGTCGATTGTCCTTATCCTCTTGAGATTGCTCCTTATCTTCTTATGTCAGTAAGAGACAGCTGGATGGACAGTTGTATGATTAAAGCAGGATGGCCGACAAAGTAGTTCCTTTGGCTGAAAGCAAATGTCTTGTATTTTGTCGTTATGTACCGATGCTACTGGAGTAGGGAACAAAGAATCATTCTTCTTTTCCTTTTCCTTTCCTGTCTTTATCAATTTTTTCTGAAATGAGACTGGTCAAGGAGTCCCAAAAATCTCCGAAATTTGGATCATTGTCTATAGCATCTTGGGATTCACCGGCAAGAACGGTGAATTCATTTTCATCTAGATCAAAATGCTCTTGACTGCTAGTTCTGGATTGCATACTAACATCATCTCTGGAAATAGATTGCAGGAATTGTTCTTTCATGAAATCCATGCTTTTAACAATTAATTCATATTCTGATAATCCTGGATATTTTTGTCGTAATTCAGTTTGAATTTGGATAAATGGATTTTGCACGACTGGAGTTGAAGGGAGTAATTTTGGAGCAGAATCCCAACAAGCTTGAGTGTGAGCCTTAATCTTCTGTAATATTTCATGTTGCTATTTAGGGGTATCAAGCCCCTTAGTCCACCATTTTGTAAAGAATATTATTTTAAAATGGGGAATTTTATTCTGGAAATCGCAGTGAAAATCCCACTTCCAAATCTATGGAATTCCAAAGCGAATAACAAAATGGACTGTAGATTTGGATATAGAAATATCCTTATAAACTGGAAGATGACTGTAAGCAACTTGCCAATCATTAAAGGCTTGGCGAATGGGTTCTGGAAAAGCATCAATTTGAATGCCAAACTTATCCCACCAAACGAGAAACCAGTTGGGGAGATCGTTTTTAAGAACATCTGGAAGAACACGAAGGAACCATGAATGGCTTTGAGGGGGATTCTGGTAATAAAATGCTTGAGTAAAAGCATCAATATAATCCTAGTAACTGTAACGAGATTCTTTATTTCGAATCTCCAGAGATCTGGTAACATGGGGATGCATGCCCCAAGCCGCCATGGGCATGATTTTCTAAATGGTAGCTTTACTGTAATTAATGGGACTAATAGTTCGGTTGGGATCATCCAAAGTATGTTTGAACTCAACCGAGGCTGTCTTAGTAAGAATTTGTTCAAAAATATATCTGTACTGATCAAAATGCGGAGGAGAATTTTGGGTAGTGAGATATCGCCTTTTGATCTTCCATGGATCATTCATCCATTGGATATCTTCTGTATTAATGTAGAGGATTGTTTCCTCAATGATAGAATTCTGTAGGTAAGGTTCTGGAGGTGTTAGGAGGACATCTTTAGCACTTTGGCTAGATTCTCCTTTTTTACTAGAAAGAGCTGAAAGCCCTGGAAATTCTGTATAATATGGATTCTGTACGTGGTAGGGGTTGGATCCCCTGCCTCGACTCCTTCTGCCTAGGCCTCGGCCTCTACTGGACATTGTTTGGACCCTGCAAATATTCACGGGTTAGAAAATCCGGTAAGGAATTATGTTCACTTTTGATGTATTCAATATCAAAATCAAAGGCTAAAAGTAAACCCTGCCATGCTGTAAAAATTTGTTTTTTAGCTAAATTCTGGACATCTTTTTTAAAGATTTGCTTAGCTGCAGAACAATCAACACGTATTAAAAAATGTTGATTTAATAAATCATCCTGGAATTTAGACACACATTTAACAATGGCTAAACATTCCTGTTTGATTGTTGGATAATTTAAAGCTGCTTGCTTCCAAGTTCCTGAAGTAAAACGTAAAAGTTCTTCCTTTTTACTGTTCGGGTTGAATTGTTTGAGGATACCACCATAACCTTGGTTAGAGGCATTTGTTTCAACTATCTTTTTCTATTCTGGATGTCGCAAGGAAAGACAAGGAAGTGTCTTTACTCTGGTCTTAATTTTCTGAACAACTTTTGTATGTTCTGGACCTTAAGGTGGAGGGTTTTTGCGAAGTCTGGTATACAGAATAGCAGCGTCGGTGGCTAAACTGGGGTAGTAGTCATGAATATAATTTAAACTACCAAGAAATCCCTGTAATTGAGTTTTATCTTTAATTTCATCAGGAAATTTTGATGCAAACTCCATACTTCTGTTTATGAGTGCCATTATGAATGTTATGGCCTAGAAATCTAATTATAGTTTGAAAAATTTTCATTTTTGGTGCAGAAATTACCAAACCATTTTTTATTA